CGTCTGTCCCTAATAGTCTCGTGTTAAGATCTACATTGAAACCTTCCTTGCACCACAATCATCTTTAACAAAAAATTACGCTGCAACCCTACTTGCGCCTCATTCATTTCCAATAAGAAATATACCACAAACTCACATTGTAAACATTCTTATATAACACTTCACTGCAACATCACTTACGCCAGAGTTATGTAAAGCCTAAGCCTCAACCATCACCAAGAAGATAGCACCACATCTATCACCCGGTACACATTATCTCCAACAAGAGCATAGTTCCACAACAGTTACAGCGATGTGGTTAAGAAGTTTCACTGGTTCCTTCAACTTCACTCTACCTAATAGCCCAACAAGTATTCTGTACAAAAGTTCCTAAACAAATTTTCCACAAATAGCGGAGCCGATTTCTCTCCAAAGCTTTTCCAAATAGAAACTATTGAACACTTTATTTAATTTTGACTATTTGTAGGCCAAGTTATTAATCTTGACCTATTCTCACTCTACTGGCTCGATTCCCATCATGCAACAAGGTGAAGGATACAAACTTCTTTTCAGATCAATAAGACAATAGTACAGTGATTCGACAGTCATCTGATATTTAAGTCCAATCGATCCATTCTTCCATTAAATATTAACAATTAAGAAGAAGAAGGTATCAAACACATTCGAAAAATAACAATCACAAACACAAATCAAACTTCAGCCGAGGCATCTCAAAAGAATTGGCCAAGCGAGAAGATAACCGCCAACCTTTAGAAGGAGCTGGGCTTGTTCATGATCGGGCCAAAACCCTCCCCTAACGCTGAGGAAGTAAGAGTTCATTGACTCTCTTTTACTCACTTTTCCGCTCCTCAATCTAGAATTCTGCGACTCCTGCGGCGTTCCAATGCTGAAGGCGCCATAAAGGGCAAGGAAAAGGGTGGCCTGGGTCAAGACAGTACATCGCCATGGAAACTCCTCAGTGGAGCGAGGACGATTGCACGATTCCTCCATGGAAGAACAATTTCCCCCCGTTCTTAAGAGCAGTGGATGAAGCTTAACAGAGCAACTTCTCCTCTTCTTCTTGCTTTGCAATTTAAATTATTTTTTAATTATTATCTTTTCCAAACATTTGCACAGCCAGGAGTCGAGTTTTCGTACGGCAAAAAGTGAGACTGCTACGCACGATTCCTTTGGTCGGGAATTATATTTTTTTATACGAATAGTTACAGATGTAAAATAAAATATGATTTTTTTATTAGGAAATTATATTTTTATACGAATAGTTACAATTGAATATAAAAATATGATTTTTTTTATTAGGAAATTATATTTTTATACTACAAAATATGATTTTTTTATTAGGAAATTATATTTTTATACGAATAGTTACAATTTTAATATAAAATATGAATTTCAAAATTTTAATTTATTTTATTTCGGTTAAAATTCAGAATTCAGCCTACTAGATTGAATTTGAGATTTATACATATGTAAATGTTATGGTCAGGCCACCACATATCACCCCAGTTACCTGCTATAGACACTGACAGCCACCTAGTATCGCCATCGGCCACTGCCTCCCTCTCCTGGAGCTAGCCATCCCCGCCCACCACTGCTAGTCGCCCAATGTTGGCCACCCACTAGAGTCGTAGCCCGTCGTCAATCATTCGTGGCCCGCATTCCTTCGACGTCGTTGTCGCCCTATTGTCTGTTGCCCATGTCAATTGTAGCCCGTCGTTGACTTACCATTTACCATTATCTGTCACCGTCGCCGCCCTCCGCCGGCTGCCACCCACCAGTCTTCGTCGCTAGGGCTGTCAAAAAAGCTCGTTGTTCGCGAACAGTTCATGTTCGATTCGCCAGAGTGTTCGTGTTTGATTCGTTCGATAAGCAAACGAGACGAACACAAACAAGTTTTTTTCCTTCGATTTGTTAAACGAACCAAACACGAACAGTGATGCGTTCGTTCGTGTTCGAATCGTTATTGTTCGGAAAAAAAAAAAATATATATAT